ACATAATTTCAATAAGAATGACTGGAAACATGCATAATTACATTTAACAATAGGAATAAACCCTAGGAAAAAAATATGACATGTCATAGAAATCCGGGCCCTATGCATGATTCTCGTAAAGCACCGCCTAATGTATATTGTGTATGTTTCTGGTGTTGTATAAGTGGTTTCAGCCATGTTAATTTTTTAGCAGTGGAGAATACTGTATGGAAGACATACATAATGGGGGAATTTGTAATTAACCCCCTTCCAAAATCTGCATAGTTTTTGTACTGTGTAAGGTTTTTATAGCTATTACTGCATTGCCTTACATTAATGGAAACTTGTCATAAACCTCATTTTTTATTATGTTTCACCTAGACTTACACCTAAGATTTTTCATTTTCCATCTCATTCTAGGTGAATAATATTGCTAGTAGTTTAATTGGTAAATTCTCGTGTATTTGTTCCAGTCATATGAGTTGAGACATATTATTGATATTGCTTTTGTTTAAAAGTTAGATTTTGCAATATGTGTCCGAATTGTTAACGTATTCAAATTGTTGAGTGTAGTAAACCACATATTTTAGTCTTTTGTTCTGTTTTAAATTGAAATTAGAATATTGGTACACAAATTAAAACTATATTGTGCCATAGAAAAGTTTCCTTAATGATAAAAGATGCCAGGTAGGGAAATGACATGAGCTCATATTGGGAGACCACTCTTTCACAAAAGACATAATTATCTGACAGATTTGTAAATAGATTGTGGCAGAGAGTGAAGTGCAGATGACTGTTTTGAGGGATCACTAAAAATGAAGTGCCACAATTTGTTGTTCAGTATAATGATACCGTATTTACGCATGTATAGGCTGCAGCACAATTTTCAGACAGAAATTATAGAAAAAATAATTTTCTTGGAATATTATTTCAGGAGTAGAACACCCTGTGTTACTAATTATGAATATAATTTTTTTAAATGAAGTGTGATTTCGAATATAAGCCGCACCCCAGTTTTACCTCTTGAATTTTTGGCAAAAAATGTGCGGCCTATACATGTGTAAATACGGTACTTCATGGATCTTTTAAATAGGCTTGGGCAATGTAACATGGGACAATTTGTATCATTTAAACAAACAGTACAAATGATACCCATGTCCAGTAGATAATAATTTTGAAAATTTGGCCTTTTTTTTAGCATTTACTGTACTAAGAGGAATTATACATGAGAAAATAGTAAATGATAACTTCCCACTTAGTGAAGTAGCCTCAACTGGAACTAGAGTAAAATCTGTGTTACTGATATTTATGCAGCTGCTATTGAAAGCTGACTAATTCATTTGAATATTCTGATAAATTTTAACATATTTATTTTGAAGTGTCATTTCTTGATGGTAACCTGATTATTCCTAACACTGCATTCACCCTGAAATGTCTTCTGTGCTTTATGCTGGGGGTGGGTGCTGTAAGCATGATGTAGATATGTTTATGCGAGAGGAAGCAGTCGTAGCCAGTTTCTGAATATAATTCCTTTAGTGTAAGTTAGCAGTGACAATTCAAAGAGAAGTAGCAGATGTGTGTTAGAATGGACATACATATTAGTTTTAATACTGAGCCAGTGTGACATAAGTTTTCTGTTCATTGCCTTCAGAAATGTCAGGGTAACTACTCAACCTAACCTGGTATATAAAAATTTATAAAAGTAGAATGTTGATTTCAGTCACCAGAGCTCAAAGAATTTCATGTTCCATAATCACCACAGGAACACCCAGTATTATCTGGAAAATTGTAAGGTTTGTATATTCATATATGAAATTTTTCAAAATTTGAAGCCTGTGGTTCTTATCTCATCATGAAGATTAAGTTTCTGATCAAATCATTCCATCCATTATGATTGGCAGAACTTCTGATTCTAAATTAATCATGGAATGTCCTTTTATTGTGGTTTATTTTGAACATGTTCATTTTTTAATGACTGCCTCTGTGGTCTAGTGGTCAGAGGTCTGGGTTCGATTCCTGGTGCTACCAGATTTTCTGAGAAGTGGTGGATATGGAACAGGGTCCACTCAGCCTCATGAGGATAAGTGAGGAGCTGTTTCAAGGAAATGGTGGCTCTGGTCTAGAAAACCGAAATTAACGGCTGTGGGTATCCATTGCGCTGACCATGCGACACCCTCTATCCTCTAAAGTTGGCAGTAACTTCGCTGACAAGCGGCAGTTGTTCAGTCAGTATAGTTCACTTGTAGACTAAAACCATGGAGATTTTTTTTTACATGTTCTTTAGCTCTTATCAGGATGTTAAATTGCAACATATATCACACCCTGATAATAGTACAGTTATCCAGTAGCCAAGTGTGTGGAATTCTCATCTAACTGACAAAAGTTAGAGGAAGAAAGTGCCATTTTTATAAAGTTAGGCATAAACAAGTATGCAATGTGCACATGTTCATCTGCGACACAAGTTTTCCACCACTAGCAGTGCTGTCATCTTCCTTCATGGAGGTGCCATCATAGCAGAGGCTACTTAAATTTGTGATCATGTTACAGTATACGTATGCAAAATATTTCCTCCGTTAATCTGCTGTGTCACCTAGGAAGACTCCAGTGCAGGAACGAAAGTGAAAATGTATGGTTTTTACTTTGTATTGGGTTTCTATAAGCGTTTTTCTCATGCAGCTGGCAAACCGCATTCCTTGTATATGCCAGGTAATGTGGAGTTTACTTAACTGAACTTTCGTGTGTCCTATGAAAATAATGTGTATTTATAATGGAGACTCCAAAAGTTCCATAACCTGTACTGCTGTCAGACTTTTCTTGTAGAAAAACACAAGATAGTTAAAGTAAATACGTTTGATGACACATATAGCAAGTGTGCTGGGTTGAACGTGTCATCTTTAGCTGTTTACAAACTGTGCAAGTTGTGTTTAAGATGCCAAAAATCAAATAGAAGTTTCTTGGAATATGTGAGCAGATTTAATTGAGTTCACATCTTCACACCTTGCTTCTAATTTACAATTTAGGCTATGTAAACCATAGAATGTTATATGTCTGGAAGTGATAATGTTATGTTTATGTTGTGTGGGTATACGAATGTGAAAACCCCTTGTCTCCTTCAAATCAAGTCCAGTCCAGTAAATTGCTGTTGGCACTTGCCAGCACAGTGATTCTTGGTTCCAAGCCCCATGGGACTCATGACCATATTTTACTGTCTTACGAGTCTGGGAGCCTTTAGAACTCACCCCTGACTTATGCCAGTAGTCATAACTCTGTGTCTAAAGTGACAATTTGATGTTCATGGCGTGTGTATATATGAAAGTGAGAACCTGTTGTCCCCTTGCTTCTAATGCCTCTAGTTCTAATTATTCCTCTAAAGTTTCCTATTTTCATGTAGAATTAAATATAGGATTATGTTGTTAACAGACTGTTTTTTCTTAAGTTCTGTTTTGTATTTCTTGCTTACTGAAAAGCCAGGTTTCTGTTTTACCTTTTCCAAAAAATATTTATCTCTGATTGCAAAGCACGTAAAATGGGTTTTCTAGAGATTGACCTTCATGCCCTTAAAATGCTGCCTAGAAAATATGTCAAAGAATCCTTTCAGTGTGAAGGCTTCTACCATAGATTCACAACTAACTATAGCTCCATGGATATTTGGAGCAGCTGTTACTCATTCAGCTGGTCAAAGAATTCCCTGCTTTTTACAGAAACCCGAGGGGTCACTACCGTGTTCACAAGAGCCCTGTTGCCAGACTTTATTCTGAACCAGTCCAAGTGAGTTCACATTCTCAGACCCCATCACTATACAGGTGTCCCACGTGTTTTGTGCCATACTTCAGGAGTGTACTCAGGGTTCCCTATAGAACAACTTTGAAATAGGAACCCATGTCCACAAACGTAAAATAGCAGTGCTAAGGCGGCATTTGATATCATTTTGTTTAAACTTGGCGCCTCAATATTGAAGAGCATGCACAGGCATATTACCCCCTCCAAACTCTTAAGACTCACCTGCTAGAGTAGATGTTGGAATTGTCGCCCTCCATTTTCAGTGCATGTGTTACATCTATGAAAGAAACTTTGGTGCACCCTTTCAAATATTCCAGGTGTCTCATGGATCATGTCACATGCAACAAGTATTCTGGCCAACAGCTTGAATTCATTATCCACAGGCATGTCGTAGATCAGGCTTTTCACATGGCCCCAGACGAAATAGTCCAGAGGTGTCAAGTCTGGGAATCGAGATGGCCACGGCACTGGACCTCCTCTTCCTATCCAATGATCATGAAAAGCAGCATCCAGGTAGTCTCGTGATACAATGCTGAAGTGTGCCGGCACTCTGTCATGCTGTATCCACATTTGCCTCTGCACAATCAGTGGCATGTCTTCTAGCAAAGTGGGAAGGATACGTTCGAGGAACCCCTTGTAAAAGAGCCCATTGAGTCTTGGTGGTAGGAGGAAAGGCCCAATCAAATGATCGCCAATGATGCCTGCCCAGACATTGACAGAAAATTGTGCCTGGTTGTAACCAACTACAGTAACATGAGGATTTTCGTCAGCCCAAACGTGGCTGTTTTGACAGTTGAACCAGCTATCCCTTGTAAACTGCACTTTATCTGTGAATAACACATGATTCAGGAAGTTGGGCTGATGTAAACACTGGTTCAGTATCCACTGACAGAATTGAACTCATGGTATGGAGTCAGCTGGACCTGTGTCGTGTACTCACATTGGATGATACGGATAAAGTTGTTGATCATGCAGGATCCTCCAAACGCTTGATTTTGATGTCCCCACAATCTAGGTAATGGCATGAGTGCTGGTGGCTGGCTGTTCCTCTATGCAATGCAACTAGCGCTGCTATTTTACGTTTGCGGACATGGGTTCCTATTTCAAAGCTATTCTACAGGGAACCCTCAGTACGCTCCTGAAGTATGGCACCAAAATCATGGGATACTCTGTATAAGACATTTTAATATTATCTTCCCATCTATGCCTCAGAAATGTAGATTATTATTAGTTTTATTTTTGGGGTGTGGGGGGGGGGGGTGAGACTGAGTCTGCTTGGTATGTCGGCCACTGACTGGCCTATTGTACCAGTCTTGTATGATAGATGATGAGTGTGGAGCATTTGGTGGAATGAGAAGTGGCAGGGAAAACTGAAGTACTTGGAAGAAACCTGCTGCACTTTGTCCACCACAAATCCCACATGCCTTAACCTGGGCTCAAACCCAAGCTGCCAGGGTGGGAAGCGTGCAGCTAACTGCCTGAGTTATGGCATGGCCTGTAGATTATTATTAAATTCTAGCCCATATCAGTGCTTTTTCCATATATTTGCAGCTACATTTCACAAGGACAGAAAGAACTTTTATGTCTGCAAGAATAAGAGTAATATTTCTAAAATGGCTTAATTTTTATACATTTCCATTTTGCATAATTGCCTTCCTTCTTACTGGTCACCAGCAATGCTGTGATTGTTATTGTACAGTACACTGTGTCAACTGGTCTGATTTCTAGTTTGTCTGAGACTGTATTTGCTTGACCTTTGAACTGTGACCCTGTCACCACAGTTGTTTTAAATTGTTCTTCAAAGTGAGGTATGAGAGACTTACAGTTATGTAAGTAGACATGTAATGTATATCCATGATAGGAGGAAAATCCTGGCAAAGTGAATTGATGACATGTTGGAGCACTGATTAAGTCCTGTGAAATGAGAGTGAAAGTTATGTTTTTCTTTCCACAGTAGTTGTTCATAGGAATTTTATAGATAGAAACATAAAAATTGTATGAGGTTTGAGGTTCTCACTGCAGTGAGTGTTAACATTATGACTCCTGGGTTGTAGATTGGTAGACTGTTACCATGTTTCAGAGGAACCTGCTCTGTAATCTTTAGGGTAGAAGTATTGGATTTTGATGTCTGATCAAAATGGAGAACAAAATACTTTGAAACAGAATTAACAAAGAGCAGTATTTTTTTTTTTTGCCAGTGAGAGGTTGAAAATGAGTAGAAACTGCACCAAGAGTTTCACAAATATGAACCAAGTGTGAGCATAAATATTAAATTTTTCTTTTGAAATGCCATTTGTACATACTACATTTCAGACTGCTTTTGTTAATAAAGAAAAAATGTATATGGGGTTTGGATTGGTAATTGGATTTATTGAACTCTTACAGTTCACTAGAGCACACAGTTAAGTCTTCACTGCCTGTTATGTCTTCACCAGTGTTCTAGTAATGCCTTCCAATGGTGGACGTTCCCCTTTCTCTGGGTTCGAAACTCTCCCCTGCCTCAGCTACAGCAATTCTCATCTAACTAACTCTGACGAACTGAACAGTCACTAACTCCTGCTTATAACATCTTGACACAGATTGCATAGAAAACACAACTGTTCTGTTTCAGTGCAGTTGTTGTGTTCATGTCTGTTGACGGAGTTGTTACCTAGCAGTGGCTGTTGTATAGCCGCTTATTTTGTGGTAGTTGACTAGCAGTGGGTCCACATGCCATTGAAGAATTATGAGCAGCAGTAACTTAGCAAAGGGAATAGCTGTGGACTGGATTAGTGTATTTTGATCCCCTACTGGCAGCAATTTCTCTTCTTGTCACTATGTAGAGACAGACTGTTGATTCCATCCAGCTGCCTGTCCAGTGAGTGGGGGAGGGGGGAGTTAAAGCCACTTTAGTACTCATAAAATGCTTATACGCCAACATCTGAAGTAGGGGTTTAAGAGAATGTGAAGTGTTACTTCCACTGCCATTGTAATGTCTGGAATTGGTACTAAGTGGGAAAACTTTGGCCTTCATTTTATTATTTAAGAATTACTAATGCAGTTCTTTCTATATTTCAGATAAAGCAACTGATGAGAAGAACACATCAGAAGAATGGGGCCTAATTATGGATATCTGTGACAAAGTTGGAAATTCTCCTATCCATGCAAAAGACTGTTTAAGATCAATTGTAAGGCGTCTGAACCATCAAGACCCTCACATAGTGATGCAGGCAATCACGGTAACTCAGGATTTGTTTCTTCCTAATTATGTCTTCATAATCTTTGCAGAGCTAAGAAACTGATTAACCTTTAATGTGTGATGAATCACTCATATGGTAAAACGTTTTCTCATTTACAGTTTAGTTTAAACATCTTACTTAAAATACAGATTGGAAATTAATGTTCATTGTGATTTTAATTATATTTTTGTTTATGAATACAGTTGTATTAAGTAAAGGTTGTGATGTAATGGTTATCACCTCTGCTATGAGGTATGTCAGAAGAAAGAAATTGGTGTGCAGTAGTAATTTGTCCATGAACATACAAGCCAGTAAAAAAAAAAAAAAACTGTGGTTTTAGTCCTCAAGCGAACTATATTGACCGAGTGACTGCCATTTGTCATTGAAGTTATTACCAAATTTAGCAGATAGAGGGTGTCGTATGGTCGGTGCAATGAATTCTCATGGCCATTAATCTCAGTTTTCTAGACCAGAGCTGCTATTTCCTTGAAGTAGCTCCTCAGTTATCCTCATGAGGCTGAGTGGACTCCATTGCAGACCCAGTACTTCTCAGAAAATCTGGTAGTGCTGGGAATTGAACCCAGGATCTCTGGATCTGTAGCCAGGAACTCTGACCACTAGACCACAGAGGCAGTCTACAAGCCAGTCTCCCAACAGAAATTTATTTCTCCAAGTCCTGTAACTCTGAAGACCTAGGAACAAATGTCCAGGGTACAGGTTTTAACCTCCTTTCATCTGAATTCAACATTTTATAATGAATATTTTCAGTTGCGTGGAATTTGATATTCTGTCATCTGTGACTATATGAACTTATGAGAGGTCAGTGTCACTGCCACTTTCTCACCACGACCATTCTTCTCTCCTGATCTACATCACATTTCTTGACAAGTGTATGCTAAGGAGAATGTGTGTTTTTGTCAATCTGTTTCAGTTACTTGATGCATGTGTAAGCAATTGTGGGAAGACTTTTCATCTAGAAGTAGCATCCCGAGATTTTGAAACTGAGTTTCGAAAACTCCTCAGCAGAAGTCAGCCAAAAGTAGCTGAAAAGTTGCGACAGCTGCTGAAGAAATGGGCTGAGGGTGATTTCAGAAATGATACTCAGCTGAATCTTATCCCATCACTATATGCAAAACTAAAACAAGAAGGGATCGACTTCACAGTGAACTCAGAGACGGTAAAGGTTAAGAAAATTCCATTTATATTAAAAATAAATTGAAGTATAGTAAGTGGTGGCATTACTGTATATTCAGAGTCAGCCCCTAACAGAAATAAGTACCAGGAATCTTCCTGGGGGGTAAAGAGAGGCCAGTGCATAATGCTGACATCCTTACTGCCATCTGTCAGCCAATTGACTAGATAATATGGGACCTTCAGTGTCTCACAACCCTATGGGCCTCAGTTGCATGTTACAGGGATAGGTTTACCTTTACCTTTAGAAGTTATAGAATTCAGAATTATATGCCACTGGGGCCAATTAAGCATTTATGAATGTGTATCAGTGACAGTTCAGAAGGGAAATGTCAGAGTTCACATTTTTAAACCCATTGTTGTTTGCGACTTAATGTTCTCATGGTGGTGACTATGAAGAGTACTGCTTCCAGGATGTGACACCATGCAATCTGATAGGAGTTTCCTGACAGTTTGGAAGATGTTTAACTTGCTTGCTTGCTCAGTGTAAAATTTTGAATATGGAAGCAGCATGTTCCTCGGAAATGTTAGCAAACCTCTGTGGGACTACATGGCATCACATCACAAAAGATAGCACTGTCAGTTGTTATGTCATCATAATCTTGAGATTTCTTCATCTCTTTTAAGGTCCAAATGTTCTTTTCTTTGCTCAAAAACAGGCTCAGTAATCTTCCTTTAGGATGAGAATTCAGTTTCTGCACCTATATAAGATGATAAAAATTATGGTTTTTGTATTTTAGTCTTTAGTGTTTTAGATATGAGACAGGAAGTTAAAAAAGAATGAGACTAAGTTTAGAATAAGTTTTATTAAAACTTTTGTTCATTTTCCTTTAGTGGTCACCCACCAGAAAAATCCAATTTTATTCCAGTAACATTGCTCTGTTACAGTCAAGACAGCAAGTTCCAGTAAGCCGAGATCCAAATGTTGTGTCTAGTCAGCAGGAAGAAGATGATATTGCTAAAGGTATGTTATATTGAAACAGAAGGACAGACATGCTTTCACTGAAGGAAGCTTTGCTATATTGGAAGTGATCCATAGAATTTTCACTATCCCACTACCAAAATTAATATGTCAACGAAAATCCACCAGAGGTAACATGCAACTTTGAACTTTGTTGCCATGTAATGAGAGAAAGCCCAACCCCAGCATGGAACAAATACATTTTCATTAATAATTTATATAATTGAGAATGCAGCTTACTGAGTTTGTGCAGAATTGTAAATTTCATACAAAATTTTATACCTACAGGAAAGGAAGTCTTTGACTTTGAAAATGGAGATGACAGGTTCATTGGAAATATTACTGACCATCTACCAAGCTCTGTGATTGTCACATACCAAGACCTGCAGCAGTGAGATTTCATATTTTGTTTCGGAGTTTTCTCTAATGTTAATTTTCTTTTCTGTTAACTTACACTGCCAGAAATTCTCTTAACTGTTTGATGCAGACATTTAAATATGCTGTGGTAGTATTTCATTTACATTCCTTTAATTTTTTTGAAGTGAAATGTTCAAAGAACTTCATTATTAATTATGTATATGAGATAATTTTTTAAAGTTTTCACACACAGCTGAAAAAATTATTATTTTATAACTTACCTTCTTAACTGAACATTCTGTATATGCATGAAGAAAGCAACCAGATTAGAGGTGGAGATCTGTGTGATTGCTCTTGAAACGCTCATCCAAACACAACTTTACTTCACATTCACTGCACTGATAAATTGCCTTCGTTTTTCCTATTTTGAGCACCTGCCATATCTGCGTGGCTTAGCCATCTTTTTTTGTGGTGGAAATTCACTGTAAGAATGATGTTCATTCTTTCTGTTTGGAGCTGGTTCAGTTGGACAGCCACATACAGGGCAAGAGACCGCAGAACCTTGTGTCCCTCTGAGACCTTGTATTAAGAGGAACCTGAATTTCAGAGGGTCTTTTCTTTGGGGGTCCATGGACTGGTATCATTATGGATAACTACATTGAGTAACCTTCTGAATAATTTGATGTACCACTTACAAGATTCCTTTTGCTCAAGCAAGTGAGGCTGTAGCATCTGATCTCTGAGATGAATTACTCCCATGTTCGGATTGTATTCTTACACTGCTGCATGTTTCATCTCTTCGTTATTTGCCTTATTTACTTTGGAGTACAGTTCATCTTTATGGTGTGTTGACATGATAACCACCTACTTATTCTGCCATACGTGTACCCCTACATTCCTTGAATGTTGATCACAGGGCAGGGAGCTTTTCCTGTTAGTATGCTAAGTGCATACATAATTTGTGCCTTTGGATTTCAAGAATTGGACCACCTCTGAAGAATTGTAAAAAAAATTGTCTACCCAGAGAGTGGCCATGATTGAGATTTTCCACCGGCTCTATAACAAATGCTGTTGTTATGTTGGCATTGTTAAATATATAAGAATCAGTGAGTCAGTCAGTAAACGTTGGTTTCAGCTATTGAATTATCACTGAAGGAGACACAACATTCCCCTAAGGTTCAGAGTAGTTTGTACCCATCTACGAATGTTTCATCAAGTGGGGCTTCCGTATCTGCGGAAGCAAGAAAGGTGCGAGCACTCTATGATTTTGAAGCAGCTGAAGACAATGAACTCACTTTCACAGCTGGAGAAATCAGTAAGTGGACGTGCTCAAGATTTTTATGGTACACAATGACAAATTCAACTAGAAGCTAAACAGCTACATCTTAGGGCCTCACATTGTGAGAGGCCTCGAGAAATAACTTAAATATATATTTTTGTTTTGGTTATTTTACTTTAAAAGCTTCAACTAGAAGCTAAACAGCTACATCTTAGGGCCTCACATTGTGAGAGGCCTCGAGAAATAACTTAAGCATATATTTTTATTTTGGTTATTTTACTTTAAAAGCTTCAGTTTGGCTTGTCACTATGAAGTAAAGTATTAAGGAAATGATACAGTAGTAAAGCAAGTGTCACATAACTTCGAACAAGGCCAAGAGTAACCTTGAATGCGCAGAAGAAAAATTTCAGATAAGGGGGTGGGTTCAAGGGTGTGAAAAGTGACAGGTGGCCAGTTGTACAGACAACTTTACTATTGGCCTTCTTTGAAGTTACATGACACTTGCTTTAAAACTTCCTAATTTATAAGGACCATTTTTTGTTCCATTATGAGTTTCTGATCATGTGCAAGTAAATATTTTAATATTTCTGTTTCAGTTGTTCTTCCTGTAATTGTTTTGTTATGTAGCCTCCCACACATGGCATAGCTTAGGATCCCATCATGCCTAAATACATAGCTGATAGTATTTATGTATGCTTATTTTTATATGATGAAATAAAGAAATGTGATAAATTGCAGCTGTCTCTACATAATTATCTCAGTTTTGTGTGTAAACAGAAACTCTGTTGAGTCCATTTGACAGTAATTGTTATGCAGTAACAGAGTGATAGCCTGTTTACCAAATTTCTTTGCTATGAATGTTTCTGGAAATATCATTACTAGCTTAGTTATTCCAAATGTACAGACATGACTTATCTCTGGTATGAACTTCGTAGATAAAGACTTTCAGTTACTGTCTTTTTTATGTTCCTTGTAGGTTCTGCTATGTTTTTAAGACAAACAGATTCTCTCTAATATAAAGATTTTTTTTACATGATACACTTTAGATCAAATACCACAGTTGTTAGCACTCATGCTTTGTATTTGTGGGTTAAATTCTGGTCCTGAAGATGGGCTATCCTGATGAGGTTTCTGTTATGTTGGCAACTCTCAGATACTGAAATATAATGTTAGAGTTGGCAACTTCATTGTAAACAATTTAAGAACTAGGTTATGTCTTGTTACCTAAGTNATTAAATTCTGGTCCTGAAGATGGGCTATCCTGATGAGGTTTCCTATATTTTTCTTATCTTCAAGCAAATATTGTATTAATGCTTTAAAATAGGTCACAACCACTTTTCTTCATGTCCTTCTCATTTCGTAATTCATGGTCAGTTTGCTTTCATGTCATACAATCTGCAGTTATGAAAATGTCAGTATGTAAACTAAAATTATTTCATCTTTCTTGCTTACAGTTCATGTACTAGATGATTCAGATCCTAATTGGTGGAAAGGCTATAACTACCGAGGGGAAGGCCTGTTCCCAGCGAATTTTGTTACAGCAGACTTATCAGTTGAGCCTGAACAGTTCAGTAAGTTTGTAATTGTCTGTCTCCTTGATAACCTTGACTGAAGATAAAATGCTTTATGATTTTTATAAGCCATAACATGCTTAGCTTAAGGCTTTTATTGCAGTTTTGGATGTCTCATTTAGCGTGATGCATGTTTATTCCTGATACAAGTCTGATACTCCTGTTGCAGTTCTACTCTTGAAGCAGTTATTAATCTGTTTTTGCAAATCTGATAACCCCGCATAAAGCTTTAAATTGTTTTCCCATATTGTTTTAAAAGTAAATGTGAATTACTTACATGCCCTGAATTTGAATCTAAACAGAGTCCTGTTTCTAGCTTTTAAATATCTATTTCCTAAGTCTTTCACATCACAATATAAATTGCCCTCACACCAACCATTAGCTGTATAGAAGCTTAAAGCCTGGCTTTTAATTGGAAGGGCTCTGGTACATACCATATTTATGCCTCGTAACATTGCATATTAACAAAGTGTAATATCCTTATGAGTCACCACCACTTACATGGCAAAAGCATGGAGGAAATATTGTAGACAATGAGAGAATGAAAGCAGGCATTTATCTTGGAAGTAGAACATTCTAAAAGGAATGGTTTCAAAGCCCCCCCCCCCAAAATAAATGAACAGAAAACCATTAGTCCAGAATCTTTTATTTTATGGTCTGTTATATAAAAATGTGTGAAATTGCAGCTTTACCTGTTGTTTTATGTTTTTCAAGCTCTATTTGTTACTCTGAGGGAAGAGCATAGATTGGAGATTGTACAGTGGATATTATTTGGACCTAAGGCAGAGGATAAGAAAATAATGAAGTGATACTTTATAATTTCTATTCTCCACCCAGTATTTTTATGATATTTAAATATAGGAAGATTAAATGGACGGATGTCTAAGCATGCGTGGAAACTGTGTTAGGTCATAAATCCACAACAGGGGAATAGACCCTTGGGGAGACATAGGCATGTATTACAGGATAGTATTCAAATGGTCTTAGAGAAAGTTTGTGAACAAATACACTGCATTCTTCTCACCCAGGAGAGGGTCTTAACTGACTAATTACCAAAAATTCCTTTACCATGGAGATTTTTAAAATAGAAATCCAGATAATTTTAGTAAATACATGTTCTCTAGTTTTGTGGGTACATTGCCACCACAGCATGGTACATCCGTATTTGGAGGAGATGGCCTCCAGATGTGTTTTTGTTATGTTTGTTTTGGTTGGGGTGTCTCATGCCTAGGTTTATATTATATTCACTATTATGTAGTGTGCCATTTATGAAGTTTAGTTTCTTTTCCTTTGGTTCTTTTGTTATTGGACATGTGTTGTGCACTCCGTTTGTTCGGTAGTTAATACTTGATTTTTATATTCATATGAGTGACAGGAGTTATTTTGTATCATGATATCTGTTTGTGTATGTTTTCTATATATTATGAATTCTAGCTTTGTTTTCTTACAGTGTATTGTAAGATCCAGGAAATTAATGGAGCTATGTTGTTCTTTTTCAGTGGTGAATTTTACATTTGTTTGTTGTTTATTGAATTTGACCAAGGCTTTGTCTATATATGTTTTATTGTGGTTTTAAATTATGAGAATATGATCAACATATTTAAAATATCCAATTATTTTATATTTCATTAACGTTATATATGTCTTTATGTTCCTTATGTTGGATATATATTTCAGCCAGTATTTCAGATGGCTAATCCCTTGGCTTATTTATAGTATTCTTTTGTCAAATTGGAAGTAATTTTGTTCCATCGCTGTTTTTACAATTGTAAACGATTGTAAGTATTGTAACTTTACAGTGTACAGTAACTGACTTGTCCTATATCATGTAACAATGATCTATAGAGACGAAATAAATAATATATGTATTATGTATTTTTGCTTAGTTTTAACAATTTCTGGATTAGTTATTAATATGTTATTTATTAAGCTTATGACATCTGAATGTGTTATGTTAGTGTACATATTTTGTATGTCAAATGAACACATTCTCATATCTTCTTAATTTCCATTGATTGTTAGCCTGTAGCTGGGTGCATAGGGTTATGAATGTTGTATGCATGTGGTAGGTGTAGGTTATTGTGTAATATGTTAAGTATTTCACTAGTTTGTGTGCTGGTGCAGTGTTCCAGTTAATTATTGGTCTGATAGGTATGTTTTTTTTTGTGTATTTTTATTGTGGCATGAAGATTTGGGGCCATGGGGGTTCATGTTATTGTAGTTTCATCTGTTTTCTTTTGTATAATATTGTGACATTATTACATTGTTTTAGTGTTTTTTTATAGTTTTTTTTGGTAGTTTTGTGTAGAATTGTTGTTGAGTATTATAAATTGATTATCTTGTATAACTTGTTTACTTTTTATATGTATTTTTCTCTTTTATGGCCGTGGTATTTCCTTTGTTCATTTTCGTTGTGGTGAGTTCATTTTCTGTTAATTTGTTTCTTATTCTGTTATTAATTTCCATTCTTTTTGCCTCCTATACTGTTTTTATTATCTTCCTGGTCAATCCTTTTGATAGTTTTTGTGACCATATGAAGTGGAAAATATGAATAATATAAAAGAGACTCTGTCGATGTTTTGAGGAACAAAGGAAAACATAATATGTATATGGAAGGAAAAATTAATGACATTGAGACAAACAGCAAGATCAAAACTTATCTAGGATTTGTGTAGAAGCATAAATTATTTTAAGAAGGGTTACCAATATGGAACCATCTTGATAGAGGATGAGAGGGGTTATCTAATTGCAGATTTCCACAGTAATTTTAATAGGTCAAAGAATTACATCTGTCACATATTGAATGTTCTTGGAATTGACTATGTCAGGCTGACTGAAATACATAGAGCTGAGCCACTAGTATCTGAGTTTCTTTTGTATAGTTTGGCATTAAATAATTGAAAAGGTGGTCTTTATAGCTCACCAGATACTGATCAAATTCCAACAGATTTTATCCAGACACTAAGTGGAACATGTTCAGAGATCCAGTGTCTTATTAATTGTATTTGGAACATGAAAGAAGTGCCCTGGCATTGGAAAAAATCTCGTATGGTATTTTGCCGATTTATAAAATGAGCAATAAAGCCGTCTGTACTAATTGTCAAGTCGTATTGCTGTTTTCACCTTCATACCAAATTTTATCAAACATTCCTCTTTCAAGGCTAACTTCAAGCATAGATGAAATTTTTGGGATTGTCAGTGTGGATTTTGACACAACACATCAGCTACAAATCAGATATTTTGCATTTATCAGATACTGGAGAACAAATCTGTGTACAATAAGACTGCATATCATCTATTTATGGACTCTAAGAAAGCCTGTGATTCAGTTAGCATTCTTATTGAAATCCATGTTGCCCTTTTGTTGCATATATTGCCTTATCAGAATGGTCTGAAATAAAGAGATGCTTTGTCACCATTGCTTTTCAACTTTACTTTAGAACATGCTGGTAGGAAGATCCAAGAAAATCAGGACAGACTGAAATTCACTGGACACGTCAGCTTTTTGCCTATGCAGTTATGTTAACTAATTGGGAAAAAACAAGTACCATGAAGGTAAACATAAAAGCTCTGTATTTGGGAACAGCACAGTAAATGCCTTTAAGAAGTAGTTGCAGGTTGTTGGAAGCTTGCTGCCATTCAGTTCAGAATCTCTTACCTTTCCGTGTCCTATTTAAAGTTATAAAGATTAAAGAAGACTCTAATATTGGCTTTAGCTGTAGTTTTGTATGGATGACAAACTTGGACATCTCATATTAAGGAAAGAACATGGATTGGGCGCGTTTGAGAACAGTATGCTGGGGAGAATATTCAAATCTAAGAAGGAAGAAGAGATAGGAGGCCAGAGAAAATTGTAGTTATACTTTCCACCAGGTATAATGTTCAAATCAAGGAGACAGATGTGAGTGGGACTTGTATACAGGGAGAGAATTTGTATGAAGTTTGTTTAGAAAACCTGAAAGGACAAGACCAGTAGGAAGACCTGGACATACGGGAGAGGAAAATGTGAAATTCAATCCAGAAGAAACAGGGTGGGGTAGTGGGAGTTGGTTTAATTTGGCTTAGGATAGGGACAGATAGCAGGCTTTTGTGGACATGACAGTAAACCTTTGGACTGCATGAAACGCAGGGAATTTATTGACTAATGACTAGTAGCTTTCCAAAAAATATTATGTTCCATGGAGTTCATTAGTTAAATGTTTACTATTCATGTGTTATCAGAATTGGACCAGCCCCGGAAGTCAGTTCAGTTCAGCGAGGCTGTGCAAGTGAAAACTGTTGAGGAACCGCAGGAAGTGGAAATCAATGAGGAGAAGATTGACAGGTGGGATCGTAATGATTCTCTAAACGTTCATGATGATGGTTGATTTATTACATCACAATTATGTGGCATCTTGTCCTTATGTACAGTATGTTACCGTTTATCCATGCACAAATTGTCCAGTTTGTGGCTTATCTGTACTGCTTTCTTAGGCTTACACACAACCCTGCAGAGTGCTTATTAAATTTGTTCAGTCTGCCTGTATGCCTAAAACAACTTGAGAGCTGCTGGACGGATTTGATGAAATCTGATGTCGGAGAATTTTACAAATAATGCGTAGGTGTCAAAGTTCTCATCAGAAAGTTTTAATGGCCACTTTACATTGCAACCTTTCTGCATTTCTACGTGTATCCCAACCATAACTTGCTAAGTATTTACGAGAGTGAACAACATATTAAAGAAAAGTTATAGAGAAACACATGTTTTATGGTCAGTACTTTTTTTTCCGCAGGTTTTTGTGGCTTCTGTGATGATTAAAGAAGTTGTACTCTACATGTATGTTTCCAGATTTCTGTATTAAATAATATCTTGGATTGTTCATGTTTTTGATCATTTATGCATTTTTTATCCTTCGTGGTGTACACCCTACATCTGTGCAACATGAACATTCTTTACTGTGGTCAGCTGACTACAATCCAATAAACTGTAAAGGCTGAACGCTCTGTAGGGACAGATGGTTTGGCACTAGATGGAGGAATAATAATAAAATGAAGTAGGCTGTCGGTGAAATTCAGTTGCCTCAGGAGAGGGTCCTGTGATGGACTTTAATGAATGCAGAAATGTACCTTCAGATTCAGTGAAAGCAAGGATTGCTGGGTCAGCTGAATAAGTATCAAGCTTTTCAAGAATGGAGTTAATTTACTTTGTAAATATAGCAAGTAGCAAGTCAGGAAATGCCACAAGATTGTTCATCAGTATGATAATCTACTTGTTACACAGGTTACTGCATCTTCTCCATGAGGCAGACCCAACAGAGAATCACTCTGACAGTGATGAAATGTTGAACCTAGAAGGTGAGTTGTATTAAAATATGAAATCAGATAAGCCTCATTATATATACTTTGTTGTATTTTCTGTCCCTGTCTATCCATGTACTAATAATTTATAAAATTACGCATGAATATTGGTGAAATGAGTCTCAGATCAGACTTTCTCAGTTGTTTGATCCATTGGTTTTTATGAAGAATTTCTACACCACATAAAGTATGTCATATTAATATTTACAACTTTAGCTTAACTTTTTTTTTGTTATATGTATTTAATGAAATATAAACAAAATAATACATTATTCTGAATTAGTTTTATTGACAGTAGACTTTTATATTCTTCTGCATTACAATTTTCTGCAATGAGTTCAGCACAAGATAGATGGCAGAGAAATTATGAATACAGTGAAATTTGCTTATGTCTACAATTAGTGAACATTCATTCATTCATTCATTCATTATTGGAGGGGGTCGGTTTCCCAGTTGTTGGTCTATTGTACATACCCCTTTGATATTCTACCAGTCGCCATACCCTTCCGGTACTGGTGCTTGCTATCAGCCCTGTTCAGCCAGCGAGTTCAGCCCCTCTACTGGCAGTGGTACCTAATACTTCCCCATCTACCAGAGGCATTGAAAACCACTTGGGCAGGAAACTTTTTACCTAATTTTGCCCAGAGGTCTAGAGACATGAGGATCTTTTATGTGCCATAAATCTACGACACGGGACCCACGGCTAAAAGTCCTTCCTGGAGGACTTGTTCCCTGAATTTTTCCGCCCTTAAAAATTCCACGACCTCTGCCGGGTTTGAACCCGCGTACGTTGAGTCATGAGGTGGGAACGTTACCCCTAGACTACGGAGGCCACTGTTAGTGAACATTAAAACCATAAAAGAATGAATATTTGCAAAGAATAAATTTGGGAAATACGTGTACACCACTAAATTGCACCTTTTTTTATGCATAATCCAACAAATGTCAGTGCTCTTGAACTTAAAACCTCAGTGTGTGGATCTTTCTGTCAGTGTAAGTACATTTTAACACACTTCTAGATGTTTTGTATTGCCAATTCTTTCATGCATCTGCATATATGACCATCACTTTAAGATAAAAATCTAGGTTATTCCTCTGCTTAATTATGTGCAGCATCATGAAGATATATGAATAAGTGAAGCTTTAGCTCCATTCACATCCTAGATGTAGGTGGAAAAGGGCCCATAGGTGCAAGGTTGGGTGGCCCACAGAGGTGACCTACATAAGGCGATTTAGAGAGGATTCCTTGCTCCTGCCTGGAGTTGAACCCTAGTCATTGAGCCTATAACAAGTAACTATGTAAACCGAGCTATTCCAGCTGCTGCTTTCACTTCACTCTCTCTCTCTGAACAGAAATTGTAGTAGTATTTAATAGTAACTCCACCAAAAGAAATTCTGAGTTTACTGGTCCTTCAGTTAAAGAAAATAATGAAACGAGGGACTTGTGACGGGATGTAAACATTTCATGGAAAATGGGCTAGTCATGAATGTCCTAAACCATGCCACCCTAAATCTCTAGCTCCATCTCCTGTGTGTTTTATGTGGTTAATTTAAGTAATGTGTCTATTTCACTCTTACCGACTGAACATCATGACTGAAACACTGAAATTTGAGAATGCTCTTGTGATATTTAAATATAGTCAGAATACATGTTGGGCATTTATGAAATCCCCCCCTCCTCCTTGATATTAATATGGGGGCACATGGTAGTGTAGTTGGTTGAGGCACTATGCTACAAGCCAGAAGGTCTTGGGTTCAGTTCATGATGAGGTCATTGGATTTTTCAATTGACCTAATCCTTCCAGCCACACTGTGGCCCAGAGGTCGGTTCACCCTCTAACAAAAATGAGTACCAGGAATCTTCCCAGGTTTAAAGGGTGATCTGCATGTAAGGCTGACAAACTCACCACCATCTTTGAGCTAACTGTCCATGAAATGTGGGAGCCTCAACATCTCACAACCCTATGGGACATCTACAACCTCTTAGAGGGCTGGCTTTACCTGTACCTTTAACATTGATACTAATATATCGTTTGTAGTGTTATTAGTTTGTTCAGTATATGAAAGAAGCAATTATAAACTTTAGTAAAGTAGTGAAGGAAATGGGACTTACAATCAGTCTTGCAAAACCTAGATGGATGGAAGTAATGAAAAGGCCATATAATTCAAGAATGCTTAAAGTGAATGATCAGGAATTTGAAAGGGTGAGAGAATTCAGATATCTTGAATCTGCTCTGACAGAAGACAGTGTCACTGTTGAAAGAAAACAGAGAATTGTAGTGGAAAATCTAGCTAGTTATGGCCTAAAAACAATTAAGTTCATGATATTTAGGGAAACAGATGAAATAAGGTACTTGTATTGTCCATACTTGCCTATGGAAGTGAAAGCTGGTCCCTAAAAAGAAAGTATGAAAATATGTTCTGAATCTTTTAAAGAAGGATATTAAGTAGAATGTATGGCTGAATTAAGGAAAATGGTATGTGGAGATCAAAGTAAGCGTGAACTTTATAAATTATATAATGAACCAGATATAGTAAAAGTGATCAAAGTAGGGCAGTTGAGATGGCTGGGACACCTTTTTAGAATGCAGGAGCAGGAATGTTGCAGGAAGTTAACACTACATTAACCAGAGGATACTTGACATGTAAGCAGACCTGCCATCAGGTGGCTGGATTCAGTAGAAGAAGATTTGAAGACAATGGGCGTTAGAAATTGGAAGTGAAAATCGTGGGATCAGGGCCAGTGGAGAGCAATCGTAAAAGAGGGCAAGGTTTGTCAAGGACTGTAGCACTCACTGAAGAAGAAAAAGAAGAAGAAGATGTATTTTTAAGAATATATACTTTGTTATAATATTAGAGTCTTCATATATTCCGGATGGCCGAAGTTCTGACTTCTATGGCACAGCTTTGTTTCTTTTGTATCCACTTTAGAGGAACAACATGGCCACTACTACCCTTGTTTCTCATCTTGATAATTTTTCGTGTTCAAGCATTTTCTGTCTGTTCACCATACCAGAGATATTCCAAGACTTCTTTTTCCTCTAATTGATGGTTTAAGATCTTTTTCTAATCTTGCAAGAACTCATCTTGTTGGCATGTTCTGTCTACAGTATTTTGTATTCTCTAAATTATGTTATATGCAGAATATATAGCTGTCCTGTAATTTCTCAATTTCTTTTTCAGTCTGACAGAATGTATCCTGCAGTCAGTATTTCTCATTTTTAATATATTCCTAATATACTCCACCTTTTTAGAACAGGCATTGACAATTTTTTGTTTCATCCTGGTCCATCACACTAACAGTATTATAAACGGTTAATTAATTCCATCCAGTGTGACTGATGATCACACTGGACAGAATTAATTAACCTTATATGGCATTGAAAATCTTTAATATCTTATTTTTCTGGCATGTTTATTATGTATTAGTCAGTTATGAAACTGCAAATGTATTGAATTTTTCAGTACTACATGTGAAGGGCATACAGAAATATGAGGAATAATATGAACATAGCTCATGTTCACACACTGCTTTACAGTAATATATGATTTGGTATGATATACTGAACTGTGTTCAGTGTTCTACCACGTAGAAGAGGTTGAGAAGTGCTGATATGCTCTACAAATAGTACATATATGATGGTGTCATTCAAGAAAGAGACTATTGGAAGTCTGTTGTGACTTCATTTAACTGTACTATGCTTATAGCAGAATTAATTTCCTTTATGGATACTTTACCTTCCAGAACAAGTGAATGCAATGGGGCCATTGATAGACCAGGAGTTGGAAAGAGTGGATCGCAAACATGCCCAGCTCACCCAGTTGAGTTCTGATCTTGTTGAAGCTTTGAATCTGTATCATACACTAATGCGGGAACCTGGAGCCCCCCAGCCGTATCACACTCTGCCGAAGCAGGTGAATTATGGTTATCCTCCACCTCCAGCAGCTCATGTAAGTAACGTGTGTGCGCACGCGCACGTGTGCATTGGCTGCCTAACAGGAATAGGCTGGAGAGAGAAATTTCATAATAAAGACCATCCTTTTTTGTACTTTTCACCTATTGTTAAGGTGATTAAATCAAGAAGGATGAAATGGGCAGAACATGTAGTATTATCATATGAGAAACACATGAAATTTTAGTCATAGAGGGTATGGGTATGGAATATGTTTGTGTGGCAACATGCATGCCTGTGTGTGTCAAGATTGGTACTTTGCTTTTTGCCAACAATTGCCTTACAGATAGAGCTGTATGGAAAAGTACATTCCCATGAATCTGAATTTAAGATTCACATGTCACACCAAATATTTTCTCTTCTTGTGCAGTGTGTGGCATAAATGTTCAAAAGCTTGAAAATATATTGTAATTCTTGATCAACTTTTATCATGAAACAGACTTGGAATACACTGCTCCTGATATACAGATTTTTGCATGAATTGTTTTGTGAGACTCATTGAAAGATGACTGCCATTTTCATTTCTTTTGCTTTTACTGGAATACCCATGTCTCATCAATAGTTAAGTTCCCCCCCCCCGCTCTGTCTTTTCTCGCGTCTTTGTNAGTTTTATCAGTTCATTTATTGCTTTTTGTCTACATATAATTGTACACTGTAATTATATTTTACAGTTTATCTGTATAAGTTCATTTATTGCTTTTTGAGTGCATGTAATTGTGCGCTGTAATTATATTTTGCAGTTTATCTGCAATTCACAGCTTAGAATTGTAAATCCTGCTGTTTGTATTCTTTAACGAAAACAGATGTGGCGATTCATATTCACAAGCAATTTCTGTGTCTGTAGCTGTATAATGGAATTCAGGCAGGCTCATCATTTGGAGTCTCTCACCATTATTCATTGGCTCCTGGTCACGATCAGTTTGTAATGGGTGGGCCTTCTGGTCCCAGTTCCATGACACTACCACCGCATTTTCATCAAATGGCTTCACTGCCTTCCGGAGTAGGAGTTCCAGTTCCTGGAGCCAGCCACCGGCCCGATGAACAGCAGAGACTGCAACGGCAGCAGCCACAGCCTCCTACAGGAACACCCAATCCTTTTCCCCCCAGGTAAGCAATAAAGGTAAAGTTCTCCCTGTACATAGCCAACAGCTGACATATGTTGAAAGTATATACCTTTATAGGAATTCATGTATCTGACAACATGTGATATGCTGTCTCTTTATCTGGACATAATAGTGAAACATATGGAAAGAATGGTTTTCCTAATATAAGGTTCTTAGGTTTATCCAGAGGATCTGTCCAGGTCCGAGGCTTTGTGTTCATTTTTGTAACAGGATTATTTTTTATGCTGAGGAGTTGTTAGCCCCACGCCCAATCCCTAAGCTGGAGGACCACCCCTTGTCAACTGTCCGCAACTGCTTATTCAGTATATTCACAGCTTCCCTCCATACCTGGAGGGCGTCTTGTCCCTCTGCAACCTGAGGACGTGCTATTCCATGATGACAAGGGACCCACCTAACACAGAGAAAATTAAGTATATGTTGCTGTCTCATCACCAAAATGCAGGACAAAATCATGACATAAAGATAGGAAACAGATGTTTTGAAAATGTGGCACAGTTCAGATACTTGGGAACAACGATAACAGATCAAAACCTGATTCAGGAAGAAATTAAAAGGAGATCGAACTTGGGCAATGCTTGCTACCATTCAATCCAGAACATATTGTCTTCTCATCTGCTGTACAAAAACATAAAAATTAGAATATACAGAACTATAATTTTGCCTGTGGTTATGTATGGGTGTGAAACTTGGTCTCTGACATTAAGGGAGGAACATAGACTGAGGGTGTTTGAGAACAGGGCGTTGAGGAGAATATTTGGACCAGATGAAGCGACAGGAGGTTGGAGAAAACTGTATAATGAGGAGCTTCATAACTTGTACTTTTCTCCAAGTAAAGTTAGAATGATCAAGTGAAGGAGGATGAGGTGGGAAGAGTATGTAGCACAAATGGGGAAGATGAGAAATGCATATAGGATATTGGTGGGAAAGCCAGAAAGAAGGAAACGACTGGGAAGACCAAGGCATAGGTGGGTGGACAATATTAGAATGGATCTTAGAGAGGTAGGATGGGATGGTATGGATTGGATTGATCTGGCTCAGGATAGGGACCAATGGAGGCTCTTGTGAACACGGTAATGTAACTTTGGGTTCCATAAAAGGCTGGGAAATTCTTGAGTAACTACAGAATTGGCGGCTCCTCAAGAAGGGCTCAGCTCCATGAGTAAGTAAGTAAGTAAGTAAGTAAGTAAGTAAAGTTCTTATGTTTTTTTGTTTGTTTGTTTACCCATGATTGCTGCAAAGGAAATGAATCATATTGTAGATTGTGTAGATCATTGTGTCTTTAAGTACACCCACCTGTTTTCCCAAAGGAAAATCATGCAAACTTTGGTGCATCCAAGAGCTACTGGCTCATTGCCCTTGAGATAAACTCACTTAAACAGCCGTGTCATTGCTGTCGCTGTTAGACCACAACCTTTCCCCATCATTAGCTTTGGGTTTGTCTATTCCTGCTCTGTTTCCCACATAACCAGACCTATTTAGGTGACATGCTTAACGACCACAGCTTGATCTCAAGGGCAAACTCTAGCTTGTTCCAGGAAGAGCATGTAAATAAAAAATCAACAGGAGTGTCTTATGGGAATGCTGGCTTCCCATACTTAATTGATGAATTGTATGGTTTCAGAACAATGAAAGTTGATTCCTTAAATGTACCAGTGTACACCCATATAACTAATTCAATTTAGAAATACTGGGTTTTTTGGGCTTTGTTCATCATCTACTATTCTAAAAACTAGGAAACAGAACATTTTGCAAACTGGATCTGATTCCATCCTCAGGTGAAGGGGCGACACTATACTGTAGTCCTTTAGAAAGTGCTAACCACAGTCACTGGATAACTCAGTCACACTAATTGAGGTTATATATTTATATCAAATTTGCACTTGCATAGATGGTAACACTGTTGTTCTCAAATATTTTAACTGTGTTACATTTTCGAAGGATCTGTTAGATATCTTTATGTCATGATTTTTCCCTGTAGTCTGGTAACAAGACAGCAGCATGTACTTAGTTCTCTGCATTTACTTTTAGAGCACCCTCCTTACTAGCATCAGTTAAAAGTTTCTATGTTTTTCTATATGGTATCTGTATTATCACCCAGCATAGACCAGCAGCTGATATGTCCCAGTTAATTTCAGTCCCACCAGGTTTTCCTGGACCTTCCTAATGGCCCATTCAAAAGCAGTGGTGATAAGGCATCTTCTTGTTTTAGATCATTTTGGATAGGAAAATTATGAGACAAATATTCACCTATATGGACTTTACTATACATGTCATTTAAATACAGTTTAATCAGCCTAGCTAATTTCACAGGTACTTCAAACCCTATGAGAATATTAGTCGCATAACTCACTTTTGTTACAGGGATGCTCATTCACTTGTAAGAGTACTAGACTCTGTAGTGTCATATTCCAGAAGACCATAACCTGAATTAATTTGTGACATATGCTATTTGTAATTTGTGTATCATCATTCCTACCATCTTAATCTTGTTGTCTTTGAACTTTAACTAAATAATCTTATGGACATTTTTTCTTGAGAAGCTTATAAGAAATTCCTCACCATTTATGGAAGAGCTCACTACTGAACCCTGTCCTGATCTAGTTCAAGCCAATCCAGTTTGTCTCATACTCTGTCTCTTTTAATATCTGTTTTAACAATTTTGTGAATAAAATGTTTGCACATGTAAGAAGTTGAATCAGATAAAGACAATAGAATATGAGGAAGAGTGTGGACATACTTAATGCCCACATAGTGACCTGTAGGATATTATATATGTTTTAGTATGCTGCCATATTAAAATATTGAGAAATAAGGCTTCATTGAATACATTATGTAAGAATTGGCTATGACTAAGTTGTTGATATTTTCAGTGGAATGCCAAGTTATGGTCCATCGGCTGCACAGCCTCCTTCATTCCCACATCCAGCTGGTCCCATGCCACAGCAACCACCCCCAGGACTGGGAACAAATTACCCTCCAAATGGGCAACCCTTGTTGTGAGGATAGTGCTAATTGTGGAGCATGAACTCTGCTATAGCGGAGGACCTCTCTGGAAAGAATATTGTGGTCAATATCCACCTGTTAATATATACAAAGTGGTAGCAGTGATAAGGATTATTATCAGTGTGTAGATTTGAACCCCCTGCTTATGCTAAAATTGAATTTATTTTGTATGGCTATGGAAATTGAAGTTACACTTAACATATATTTTAGAGTAAAGTATAGATTGAAAATTTCATGATTGTATAGGTATTTATGAGGTTGTATGTCAGTGTTCTATATTCACATTGTTCATAATGCTGATGATTGTGTGTGTGTGTTGTTGAGCCAGTTATGTCAAATTTTTTTAAGTTTCTTGGTACAGCTTAATTCCAGTAATAGGTGTTCCTTGTAGATAGCAGATGAAAACTTCAGGAATATGTTTTAAATTAAAGATATTCTGTGCGAATAAACTTTTTCAACAACAGATAAGAGAAATATGTTGAAATGTGAATTCTGTTTATGCTTGATACATTTCTGGATGTAGTCCCAAATTGTTGCAGAGCCTTATCTTGTATTTTGATGAACTGCCATACTACATCATGGGGGTAGTGTAAGCAAGTAACAGCAGGTAGTAACAGCAAGTGTTTTCTAACTGTTGTGCTATAAATCTGGTATTTTTCCAGTCAGTCATCAAGTAAATTGCACATGTTGTTACCTACTTTATGTTCTTTTTTACTAGTGTTTCACTTAAAATAAAAGTTCACATTTTTGGCATGTCTGTGTTTCTGCACTCTGAAACTGAGGAACTGCTTTTATAAATGTGACAATAATTTCAGGGATAATTCATTTCATTTAAAATATTTAGTCTATTTTCTCTCTGAGAAAGAATACAGATATCTGTTTCTTTGAAAACTCAGTACTCATAACAGCATCTCAGTGTTTTGCTTACACTGGAAGGACTTGTTTCCTCAAAATTTATGGGTTTGCATTGTAATCACTACAGGCCATAGAACAAAAGGGCTAGGTTATTTTACTGTAATTTATACTTGCTATATCATTTAGAACAAACCGATTTTTTATATCATATTGGTGAAGGATTAAGGGAATGTACTATTACATTCTTTTGCATAGATGTGCAATTTTAGAAGCTGTCTTAACCTTGGGCGTAAAGATACTTGATTTACAGACTGAAGTCTGTTTTGAATAGTAAATTATTGCAGTGTTGGATTTAAGGTTCTAAGAGTGATGGCTATGAAGAGTTGCGTCTTCAGGGATATGATGCCGTATAGTCTGGTGAAAGTCAGCCAGTGTTTAAGAAGAACACACAGACTCCATCTTCAGGGTACAAGAGTAAGTCAAGCAAGAAAGAACCATGAAGCAGACAGTGAGCAGATCTGCTCTCCTTGCTGTCTGCTCCATGCTGGTTTCACAATACTACACAGCATTATATGCCAGAAGATAGAACTCATCAGGAAATTATTAAATTTTCAGGTATAATGTTGAGTAAGAATGTTTTCACTCTTTTCCACCATGCAGATGCCACAAATTAAGTTTTTCATAGCAGCAGTTTGTAATTCTGATGATACTAATTTCAGTTTCTCTCTTCAATTCAGATGTTAATTAAAAAGGATCAATAGTGTTCTTACATCTGATAAGATGTAGCAGTTTCCAGTCCAAAGTTGGTGTAAGTCAGTGTTTTTCAACAAGATGTCATGAAACAGGGCTATCCAACTTCGAACCACTGAATTTACCTTTGGTATCTGCCTTACAATGATGAGATGTATGAAGCACAAGTACACTAATACGAATTAGACCCATAAGGTTCTAAAAACCGTTATTTAAATTCAGTATATTATAATGTTTAGAAGAATTAAATGAGTTTTCTTCTCACAAAACAGAGAAAACACTCTCTGTGAGTTGTTTTCAGTGCATGCACTGTGGACTAAGATTCCCATATAAAACAGATAATATATCGAATGCTGTCTGTGCAGTATGGAATATAAGTGTAAATGAGATTCATCTCTTAGTTAATGATGATTATATCAAGATTTTGCTTGGATTGCAATTTATATGGCTGGTTCCAGTCACTGCACCCGATGGGTTAAGTCACTTAATCTTTCATACCATCAGTTTGCATGGAACAGTTTCTAAGCCACCCCAAATTAAATTAATTGCAAAAATTAAGAGCAAGCGAACATTTGTTGCACTGACGGTTTAACATAACTACCATATATATGTTTGGAACACATCTTTTTCCATGCTAAATTAAAAATGTGTGAAATCATCATTTCCAGGTTCTAATTTCAATATTTTAAGCGTGTTACAAAACCCATTAACATACCTGTATCAAGTTAGATAGTTTGTCTTCCTCAGAATTTCAGATTAAGCCCATTTAGATGTGAATGATCAGATTTAACATCATCCTTTAGGAAAAACGGAATCTCTCTTCCAAAGCCAAATTGTTATACAAGATATTTTCCTGTACTCAGAGCCGGAAAATATCAAGATGGGGATGCAAGTACTCGTTGCTTATGTGTGGGTGTGTGTATGTGATTAGCAGAGACCTGTAAGTGCCTCAAATGAGATCCATACCTTTCACTACTATGTTTGTCACATGAGCTTATTTAACTATTTTCCACACAAATGTTCTTGATGGGTTATGCATTGAATTATGGGTCACTAAATCAATTTTTATTTTGCAAGCCTAAATAATCCGTGTTCCTTAGAATCATATCCTTTGCCTCAGTAGCTACAATGCATGAACACCTCCCAAAAGTTTCATGCTCATTACACAGTTCTGCACTGCATCAAAATGTCAGTCCTTATGCAGAGACTCTAACATCCAGTAGTTATTTATGTGTTGAAAAGTCATTCTGAATGGATCAAACATAAATCTGAAGTTGACCTACATCAGTTTGATCAGTACTCTTGTCGGTGCATAGAGAAAAATAACACCATTTTCGCATTAGTAAATTTACTGTTGTAGTGCTGTATGATTTAGTAAACATCAAATAATATTTATTTACTCAATACCCTGACATGCAGGTACCGGGATAGCATAGTCAGTATAATGACTGGCTACAGGTTGGATGACTGGGGGGGTCAGAGTTCCGAGTCCCAATAGGATGAAGAATTTTCTCTTCTCCACAGTGTCCATGCCAGCTCTGGGGCCCACCCAACCTATCCAGTGGGTACCAGAGAGACTTTCCCCAGGGGTGAAGTGGCAAGGGCATGAAGCTGACGACTCACCTCCAGCTAGTGCCGAGGTCAAGAAAATGTGCTCTTATACATCCACTCCCCCATACGCCTTGATGGCATAGTGCTTAATTAGTTAAGCACAGGGCCAACTTTACCTTGCCCTGACATGTGTGGACTCTCAAAGGTTCATCATTATGGATGCTGTATTAACCAACAATTTTAGTACAGTCACTTGAGGCTACTACAAGCCCTCAAAGCTTATATTACATTTAATGAACAGAAGTATGATGCAGTGTATCAGTATGTTATGCTGGCAGCATAAGTAGAGAGGTATTAAAATTCATATATGTATCATGCAGTTCATACTTTGAAAGAATCTTTTATTTCATGTATATATTATAATTTCTATAAAAATATTGAGTTATTTCTTATTAGGCTGTCTGAGATGGTGTTCCCTTGTTTACATGTAAGTAGGATGGCTTCTTCCCCTGCATTGTATAAGGTTTCCGAGGATGTATGATGCTGCTTCTGTCCTGGTTAGTATTATAGAGACACTTCTAACTGCACTAACTATCACAAATCATTGCAGATGCATGTTGATTCATGTGCTGTTCTGCTTGCCACTTAACTAGTAAGGTAAAGATAACAGTTTTAAACTTTCTGACATTGTTATCACAAAAGACGTTTGCAGTTTTGATTGTGCGTATCTTATTTCTAATCCAGTCAATGAATGAGTTCTTTGATCTTGATGGTTCATGTTACACTGCATAAGATATTTCAAGGCTTGTTTGCACCACAGTCAGTGTTTTAAAAATTATTTGTTATTTCCTTTTCTTTTTACACTTGCAGCTTTGGCAATTCTTAGTCTTAAATAGTCCCTTGTGTTGTGTTTTGTAATGCCACTTCTTGTTGAACACTTATGGACCACACACTACTTTCTAACACACAAGACATGGAGGTTTCTCATTGTTTTTGCTGAATAAGTAATCACTGTCCTATCATTCTTCAAATGTTGTATTTTCATCTTCAGCTTTATGCATTGCATTAGGTTTCAACTTGATCACCCTCACTCTGTTATGTATGTTGAAAGGTGCTTGTTACTGCAGCAAACACTAAGCACAGGGCTGCAGACACACTGACTAGCAAGTGATTAGCAGAAATAAAATAGAAAAAATACTCTTCTTGATTCCAGTGGTCAAATAATGTGACCATGCTACATACATGAAGAGACCATAAAACAGTATTGTCAAGTTGCTGGTGAAGGATCAGGCATTAAAAGTTTGCTAGACTGTATCGATACTGTGTACAGTTGTGCACTCACACTAATTCTGCACATTTCTGAATTATGTATTAGATGCCATGTGAAATGAACTGAGAAATTACATGGAGTATTTAGTAAGTTCTTTTCATAAAGTTTGCCAGCTAGATTAGCTGCATTTTGTAAGAAGGGGGAAGTATTATGTATTTTCAAGAATGGGAGGATGAGCCTGTGGATTACAAAAAACTAAATGATGGCCTGCAAGCTGTGAGTTGGACAGCCCTGACATAAAGAACATTCTTATAGGATATTTTAAAATTCTACTCCCATTTATTGAAATATGATTCTCAGAGCATATAGCAGTCCAGTGGGGTGAACTGGATAGTTAAAGCTGGAAGCAATCATTGAACTCTTTACAGCCTGCTTGTTAATTTCAGATGTCTTGTGAAATAGTCCCCTATTGTAGTTACAAATATGAATATTATAATATATTTAATGTTTTTAAGTGACTGAATTTTTATCAAAATTGCCCTGCCTTGCAGATCAATTGCAGCAATAAAATTTTCCCATTTTCAGCATTAGTCAGTGCCGCTGATTGGCTGTGGGCTGGATGACTGATGTGGCAGGAGAAGGCACTTCCTCTTTTTAGTGTTTTGTCTGGATGTGTCTTGGGCCAGTTGAGCCTCCAATCCAGTCGATACTTGGAGTCTTGTACAGAGATGAAGCAACCAGAATGCAAAGCTGGCTACTTGTGTTCATCTAGTTTTATGATTAAGATTGCAAGGCGTTCACTTCCACTGTAACACACATCTTCATGGCTTGGTACTTAGGCACTATTACCTTTCACCCCTCAACACATATGAGAGATACATAGTACACAGCAGCAAACAGTAGTCTTTGTGGCTGTATGCGGATCGAAAGTATGAATTGTGGTAGCATTGCAGTGTAAGAAATGTATTAAAATTGTTATTAAATTATTTACTCTGAAAGGGAGGTAAGAAGTGTATAGCTGTAAATTAGTTAACATGTTCTGTATTTTGCATAAACCAGTGAAGTAATTCTGGGTGGGTACAGAAAGTTCTATGTCTTCATTTAAGAGTAAAGTTGCACATACAGTATTTTTATTCTAATGTTCCCATCCAGTATGCAGGAAAGGACTATAACCGTGGGGTCACAGGAATTGATGGACAGGCTGAAGCAACAGCATGGGTAGGCTGAGAAGCCACCTGAAGTGGCTCTTCTTTTAAACCACTTTTATTTTCTCTCTTCCTCTTATATGTTATATGTTCCTGTTATATGAAAATTAATTTCCCCTAATCTGTCTTTTGTTCATATTGTGATCATTCCTTGGTAGTAATCTAAATATTATGCCACAATGTAAATCTTTCTTGTTAATGTAAAAATGTTTTGTTATATCACCTGTTACTGATGACAATCAGAAATTAACTTCATGCCAAACCAATGTAATACAAACCTTATGAAGCTTAATGCTGCTAATACTATTAAGTTCTGTCTTTCTCCAGAAAATGTAATGTATTAAAGACATTGGTGTTTTTCTAGACTAAATTATACTTCCATCAGTATTTTGATTATTTATCTTCCCTTGCACTGAAATTGTTAGCCCAGAAATTCAGACTGGTACCTTCTGCTTTTCTTCATTAGATAATTTTTTTATTACTTCACATCATCCTGGCCAGAATGAAACTTGAATATGATTCTGTTGTCTGGACTTCTCTCACCAACCTGGACTCCAGCAAGACACAATGTGTCCAGAGAAAGATTTCTGCCTTATGTTACATCAAATTCCTTAGAAATCTTCATTCATGCAGCTATGATTATACTGTAGATATGTTAAAATAGCTGGCTCAGTTTTGAGACATTATTTATAAGGAGCATTTATAATGGTTTATTACCAGCCCCTTTTCTTCTTGAAACTATCGGTATAAGAATTCCAGTCAGATGCATTAGGGACATCATTGCCTTTTATACTTTGTTTTTGTGTAATAAATGTCCTCCTTGCTGCACCTTAGCCAAGAATAAAATATAACATTGAAGGTATGTCATCAATATCAGTCATCTAGTTAATTTGGTTAATAGGTAGTTGCAGTATTTTCTTACGTTCAGTGTCGTTATAAACGCATCATATCCTATGTCTGCTTTGCAGTAGAATATCTTACATGTCTGTGTTTGTCGTACACCTCTTTATTGTTTCCTTCACTCATTTGTTTGATGGTGCTAACTCTGTAATTGGCTCCTGCAGCTGTTGGGTTGAAAGGTAAAAGTTGTCCTTGTGCTTGACTAATTAAGCACTACGCCATGAAGACACATGGGGGAGTGGATGTGTAGATCCACATTTTCTTGACCTCAACACTAACTGGAGGTGAGTGGTCAGCTTCACCACCAGGGAGAGAGCCCCCAGTACTCACTGGATAGGAGCCTGGGTGGGCCGGAGCCGGTCTTTGCGACGTGAAGAAGAGAAAATTCTTGACACCACTGGGACTCGAACTCTGACCCCCCGGGTCTTCCAGCCTGTAGCTTGTCACAATGCCAACTGTGCAATCCCAGCTAGCTCCTAGCAGTTGAGTTAACACATGAAAATAAAGCATTAAGTTGAATTGAAAACTTTAAGAATTATGACACCAAGTATCATTGTAGTCTCATTGTCTTAAAATTTCATGTTTGCCTGAAATTTTGAGAAATTTGGTTTCTCTCTCTCTCTCTCTCTTTTTTAATGGAAAGGGGGTGGGGATTTGTTGTGCTTGAGGTGATATTTAGGCACAAGAAGAACAAAGACTTCAGTTATGGCTTAGAGTAAACAGTGATGTTGACAG